TCGTCTCTGGTGCTATGGATTCAGATTCGAAATTTCCTTTAAATAAACACTACGAAAACAAATGTCCGTTAAGTCAATGGATGATTTCAGTATTATTTTAACTGTTGTCAGTTTTACAAGGACAAAGGCAAGCCGATCGATACGTACATGTTACGATGACGTCGATGTCATCGTTCGATAGACACGGTGCGGTGATTTCAAACGATGCCGTCTTGCCAACGCAAGCCGTCTTCAAACCCTTTCCGAAAACTTCGGCCCATTTGTCTTTCATTTCGCCTACTGTCTGAACAGGAGACGCAAAGCTGGTGGTTTCTGTGCTACAACGAGACAAACGTTAATCCATCACAAAAAACATCGGTTAAATTAGAAAACATTGCGGGGTACAGGAAGCGGATGTGCATCTTCTGATCATCTGTTCTTTTTTGATGCAAAAGAACCAAGTAGGACTGGTGACCAACTACTTCGGATCAGTCGCATGATACTGTGAAGTAGCACAAAGTGTCAAGGAACTACTATTTAACGGAAACAGATAAAGCTGCACATTATGATCCTTAAATGTAAACTGTTGCTTTTGCAATCTTGATCGCATATATACCATAAACTATATGGCTTTAGAATGTGATGTTATCAAAAACATTTATATGTTCAGTTCAAAAGTCGTTATCGTATCTGTTTCAGGCATCAGAGAAATCCCATCTGATATCTTTATTTGATTATACATGGATTCCACCTCATGCTCATTTAGTTAGCCGTCAAATGGACAAAACTGCATTGAAACCATAAACGCATGCATCACACTACATTATCATAAATCTTAAGATCTGGCACAAACGCATCAAAATACAAAAATGTACCAGCTGTCCACAAATCGTCCACCCGCGACCAGTTTCTCAGCTGATTACACTGAAGCACAGAGGGTTGAATAATTTGCTCAAAGCAATTAGCAGTCTAATTGTTCATCAAGAGAAGTTTCAAAAGCAACTATGCACTGGCTTCAAATTGAACTTTACAAATATTAGCCTCTATAAAAGATTCTTGTCTCCTAGTTATTTAAGCAGCTTAATATGAAGTCAGAGATGACTCAACCACTGTTGGATAATGAGCAAGATGCGCAAAGATATTCCATCTCCAGGTAGCTACGTATCTGTGGAATGAGTCAGATATGAAATAGTTGTCCCCAGTTTATCATGTGCTTTTCCATTGTTTCCGATTAGAAAATTTTAAGTGATGAAGAGGCTGTAAGTATAGAAGGTGAGATTCTGAAGAGAACGCGAGCTCAAAGGTGATCAGAAATGTTCGAAATCTCATTTACTGACAAATCATAATCATGAAACCGATGAAGTGACCAATTTTCTTCCTGTCTGTTCATACCTTTTGTTCGCCGCGCTGCGATCAGCTCCACCATCCATGTTTCCGCCAGTTTGTATGACGTGGCTGTTTAGTACGGAGAGCTCCGCAACGGCAGACGCGTTCTCATGCACTCCTCTGAGAGAAGCCATTTACTAATCCTGTTCTTCAGTTTAGTTTCCGTTTCTAAAATCTAGCTGTTTCAAAATGAGCAACTCAGCCAGCCTATCCGGTAGACTATCCCGGCATCCTCCTGCTTTGTAGCTAATTAGGTATAACGCTGATCTTTTACTGAAGGCTGTCAAGCCTGTTTGGAGATTTGCATGTCGTTCTCACCCTGTATCTGGTCATAAAACACTTTATTCAAGCAATTTTGTTTACATTCTTGGGGTGATTAAAAGGGAGCGGCGTCGGAAATTTCCCCAGCGAGATTTTGTTTATTCATATTTGTGGGTCTTGTTTACCTTCTAGTTAACGCTGTTGATCTATTACTGAATGAAAACTTTGGGTACTGAATTTCTTCTAATTCAGCGACTGGGTTGCTATTTTCTTGATGAGGTGAGAAGGCCTCCCTGCAGCCTTACGCATTTCACATACAGCATACCGATGTGACAGGTCTTCAACGACTAAAATCCACTGCACTACTGCCCACTCCTCCAACCATCATTTTCGCTGCGTATTGTAAAACTGTGCCGCTAAACAAAATGCGGCATCAATTACCTTGATGTGACCGTGGTTTCTGGCTGATACGTAGGACTGGCCAAATACGCGTACGTTGGTAAAGTTCCGTTCTGGATCTGACCGAGGCTCACTGGCGTTGCGAGCATCATATTGCTGAACGGAAACGAAGACAGCTTCTGCTCTTCTTCGCCGGTATCCGTCACCGTTTCCACACGCCACGGGCTTCCTAGACATCGTTTATGTAAACTAACCCAACTTTGCAGTGGAACAAAACGAACATGAAAACGAAAACAAGTTACAGTTATTCTTTCGGAAATGACCTTAGCCAGGTTTTGACCACCGCAGAGAAACTGTGCACTGCTCGTACAACCGGCAATGACACAGGTAAATGTAAGTGATGATGACCACCGATAAAGTATCTGAAGCAATTCGATCTCTGGTTGTGGTCAGTGACAGTCCATGTCTCACACCATTAACAACTGCCCAGTAACACGATTAAAAGGACGACTGGCAGGTCCAAATTACCTACCTCTACCTGATATAAACTGTCGTATATGACTTCGCGCGAGCAAGTAAATTTAAAACAACGTACTTCAAACAAAACCTAAAAGAATCTGACACTGTTTATCTGATATAATTACCACCGTAAAGCAAACTCCGCTGGCAGACGGCAATCTGTCATTAACTGGACACTCGCTGCTGGTGCTTGGTGTCTTTACGTTGCTTCGTTTCAACAGTGAAAGGCACTGACAGTTGTTAGCTGCAAAGATATCCAACGTTGACGCCGATATCGCGAACGGGAGCACCTCACCAAAATAAGGGAGAGCAGAAATTGGTACAACGATTTGAAAATCGTCTAATGCTGTTGGATACCTTTGCATGTCGTTTTTATTTTTGAAGAAATGTCTACCGTCAGAGTTGGAGGAAAGCTATCTGAATGGTTCTTTATTAACTATAGAAACCATGCAGCGAGATGTGTTTTCGCCTTGCTATTCAACAGTCGTTTTGACCATCTCTAAAACATTGATGATCCAAGAAAACACGAGGGTCTTATTCTAGAGGGAAGGCACAGTTCAAGATATCCGGCGCGAAATCTTGCTGACGTAGAGCACGCAGGTGGTATTTTCCTGCAGAGTACAAGTCAAGTTTATTAGCTTATGCAACGATTGCTGCTATCAAACTAAGCGAATCAGATACTCTAGCATTAAACAGGTCCATGAAATGTATACAGTCAGGAGGTTAATGCCATGTCAAAATGTTATTTACAAATAATTGTTCTTGCAACTCTGGCTGTCTGAGTCCTTGCCAGGAATGATAGAACGGATCGCCTGTACATATCTGTCCGAGCTGAAAAAGCGTTTAACCGGCTTCGGATGCCCTAAACAGCGAGAGTGCGCGCTGAAACTGGGTGCAACGGCTGACTGCCATTATCCAGCATGCTATGACCCAGGCGACAGGCAGATGCAGTTGCTATTCTCGCAATGGTGTCGGCAATTTCTTCTACAGGGATTCTGCTAATCCTAGCTATTAGCATCACGGCTCGACGCATTAACCTGAAGTCTTTCTTCATTAAGTCTGAGAATATCACTGGGCTGAAGCAAATAACGAAGGGAACGATGCGTCCGAAAACGAAGAGGCGTACTGCTTCATTTGGCGGAAATATAGATATGATTAGACTCAACAGATAGTTAGATGCCCTACAACCCTTTATGAACACGGGGATCATATAGTCAGACCAATCCAGTCTACAGATTAGCACGATCCCCCGATATTTTGTGGCATCGCAAGCCGGAATTAACACATCTTCTAAGTTACTGCAATGTTCAGTGAAGGACAGCAGATTAGATGATCTGACGATTTTCATTCAGCAAGTTAGATTGGTGCTTTTCTAACGGTGATATCTTAAGCTGTTGCTCCTGATCCACAGCTCAGTGCCTTTCACTGCATTTTGCAGGCTGCGCAAATCGGGCTTCTTTCAGAGGAAGCAAATAAGCACTGTGCCATCGACAAGACCGGCTGTGCATAACGAGTTCACGTAAAAATTAAAGAGCAGGGGTGACTGCACCAAACTTTGTCAAACGCCCACGTTGTTCCGCTTCGTTGATGAACGGCGCCTTCCAGCTGCAAAGAACTGATGCCTGTAAAAGAAATAACCTGCAAGCCAGCGCGGCAGATTGTTCTCAACGCCTGCCTTTTGAAGACAGTAGAGAAGTCCATCTCCTGGCACGAGGTTGAATGCCGCTGAGAGATCTAAGAAGACGGCCTTTGCAATGGTACTGCCAATATTATGTGCAGAGGCTAGCAAGTGCGAACAGAAGGTTAGAGCATCTAGGTGGAACGGCCGCGTGAAAAACCGAATTGCCAGCTATCGTTCGCTCCATGAAGTTGACTGAGGAGCACCGTCGAACGAGGGCTGCGAGTGCTTTAAGCAACAGGAGTCAAAGCGATTGGAAGAAAGTCTTTCAATTTGGTCGCAGCAGTCGATTTTGGAATAGGAGTAATTTTGGACGTCCTCCAATAATCTGGAATGACTTCAGAACATAGGCAATATTTAAACAAATTGCACAAGCCATTCAATTCAGCTCTACACAGCACTAACGCCCATGGCCCCATTTGTCGCAGAAGCGTTGTTTGATTTGAGGGAGGCGAGAATTCGCCTCAGCTCAAGTTCATCGAAAGTTATTGGACGATTTGTAACGGCGGTGGTTAGCAAATACCTGTAGCAAGGAAGCGCTTCTGCCGAATCACATTCAAAACGAAGGCTGAATTCATTTAGGCCACTGAAATCGTCAATGGATTGTTTACGTGGATTTTTACCGACGTATCGCTGCCCAGAGTTCTTTTTGCTTTCTCTGATCGAATAAATCCTTGAAGCGTAGCTTATAGATAATCCGGGTTTCCTTGCCGGTCTGCTGTCGAAGGCACTTGAATGATGCGATGTCACTTGCGAGATAGGCTCTCTCGCTCAAATGGTATAGGTGCTTTATTATAGGCGTCGTCACAAACGTTTGGTTAACTATTACCTCGTGGAACGGGCAACAGGTGTAACACACAAATTTATGTAAGTGATAATAGCTTCCGCTCGGTCGTTCAGTGATTGAACATCAAAAATCAACCAGCCTGTTGTTGCAAAGACGTCTGGCGTTTGTTAGATTTCTGCAGAGTGGTAAAGGTAACGAACTTTAAGAACGGATTTACGCTGACCCATTTTACTGAAAATCTTCAGGATTAAAAATAATGACTCATTGGTCGCGAGCTGTTTGACCCTGAATGCAGCTAGCACGTTGGTCATTACGCAGTCAAGATGCGCTGACAAAAGCGTAGGAAAAGTGACGATACTGGGCAATCCGAAATATGTAACAAATGCTTTGTCGTGTCTATTGAAATCTTTGGCGACAACGAACAAAGACCCTCCCAGATGTGTTGATTCGCAACTCGTGAAGGCATCTGCAAAAGAATGTGATTGCGAGTGAATGCGTCCGGAAGCGACGTAAAAGTTTGGCAGAATCACGATGGAGTATCCTGGGAAGAAGGTAATGGCATACAGCAGGATAAAACATTGAATGCCCCCAGTTAAATACTGCAGAAGAATCGAACATCAGATGCACCACTTTTGGTTACTCCGAGTAGCTACACCACCCAAACGAAGGTTGGACTTGGATCGATCTGCTCTGTACACAGTGCAGATCTTCGAAGCTGACCACCGCGACGTCATCCTTTGCATGAAATCATGATTCTTGGACAAGAAGAGCACAGGAGAAACAAGAAGAGGTTCCATCGTTCTCCATAACCACTGTGAGGTCTGACAGTCTGTTCAGTCCCGAACGGATGTTTGTCGAGAGAAGAAAGAGAAAGGTAGAGTTTTCCGGTATGGTAGTTTTTCGAAGCCTTTTGCCAGCTGGCAGACGTCCCTCGAAATCGGACGAGGCTGTAAGGTGAATGAATGTTTTTATAGGGCGTCTTATAAAATATATTCATTCACCTTACAGCCTCTTTATTCTTACATTCGTCATACAGGAGCAATATATTTATATATCAAATTAATATA